TTTAAAAAACGTTTAAAACGTGCACCATCTTAAAAACAGTGAGATAAATCCACACACGAGCCGCTAGTAGCTCCGACGCCCGCGCTACTAGCAGCTCGTGACATCGCCGCTCGCACGTGACGCTCACAGTCACGCTAGCACGCTTACTTGTTTTGCGTTCTTCCTGACTGATTTTCGAGGAAAAGAGAGACTGCTCGAAGTCTACATTGTATTGTATCATGATATATCACTTTATCACAGGGAAAAGAAGTCATTCGTATTTAATTATATATTCTGTTAATATCACGATTTATCACTCTATCACAGGAGGACGAAAACATTCTTACCTAATAATACAATGTATAGTCTGATAATATCATGATTTATCACTAAATCACAAGGAGAATCGAAGAAGATATTCTTACCTAATTAAATACCTGATAATATCATGATTTATCGCTATATCACAAGGGTAAGAAGAAATTCTTACTTAATTAAATATTCTGATAATATCATGATAACATATGCTGAAATGACAAAAACCTAATGCGAAATATCAAAAAATCATTTCCTTATAAAACATCATGATATTATCAACATCGCTTACAAGAAACATATGAGATATTTCATGATATATCATAAGTGATAATTGGTCTTGATATAGTGATAATATCCGATGCTGCACCTCTGTCGGTTATTCACTCACCAGTAACCACATCTCCTCTCAGAGGGCTTTTGTTCACCTAAAAACACACCATTTTTTCAAACTTTTCTCGTGGCTAAGATTTAATTCCAAACCATGGCAAAGTATACATTGTTAGATAGCTCAAAGTTCAAAATTATGAAAACAATATTTGTGTACCCTAGAACTGTATTGTAACCTGATATCGGCTAATTAAATCTGCCACTTGCTGAGGAATGCCTTGTCTTACTTGAGATAACTCCTAGAAGAACTGATCAAAATGAATAATTTTTACATTTTTAAAAGAAGACAAATAGCTTGCTGTTTTAAGCACAGAGATTTTTGAAAAGTTAAAACCACATGAAATGGTGACCAGTCAAATCTGATACAGAAAATCCAGCAAACGTTTCAATGCATAACTTCGACAAAATGCACTGGATGGAAAAGTTCTCTGCTTAAAACGCAAAACTTACTAAGAACAACAAATCCTGAAAATTTGAGCTCAATTGGACAAATCCTTCTCAAAATATCTTTTCTCAAAGGCAAAAATAACT